AGATAGATAGATAGATAGATAGAGTGTAAAACTAAGGCATCCCATTCATGTATTTTTCATATATTTTCTCAGGAAGCTTTATTGTGAATTAACAATCCTCGCATTTTTTCCATTCACGGGTGTAACCCTGCCCCACTTGTTGCGTGTCCGAGTGCTAGAAGTCCGCCTCTCCCACAGTGTCGGTGTGTGTGTGTGTCAGTGTGTGTGTGTGTGTGTGTGTGTGTGTGTTGGAGCAGGGCAGCAGGCGCTCTCAGCTCTCTGCTCGCCTCTCACTGCTGGAAATGGCGATCCGGGCTGGCCAGCTCTGCTCTCCGCGTCTCCTGCTGGCGCTTTTGGCGCTGGCCGCCTGCGGACCGCAGACAGGGCTTTGCTGTCCGAGCCGCTGCTTGTGTTTCCGAACCACTGTGAGATGTATGCATCTGAACCTGGAAACGGTGCCGGCTGTTTCTCCGCAGACCACCATTCTGTAAGTAGCGTTTCATTGTCCCCCGCCTCCTCTTTCCTCACACTCACCACCGAACTAAACGGCAAATCTAAAGTTTTTACAGTAAAAAGGGAACATTTGGTATTTCATTCAAACTGATTAATAAGAGTTCCAGAGTCTTTGAAGTTAAAAGAAACTTTTGCATAGGTTGTAGGTATGAAAATCCAGGAGATCTTGGAGTAAATGTTAACAGAATGTCTTGAGACGTTTTAATTTCCTATTTGGAGTTAATGATGAAGAATAAAAGCTGCTAAAATAAGCTTACCCCATAAAGCTAAATAAACATCAGCCAGAAGCAGTTCTTTTCTGCACATAATTAATGAACCAATCATGTAGAGCCCATTAACGCCTCCTTTAGGCTACTGACTTTAATTTTCTCAGCATGGATATCTGGAAAGTATAGATAGAAACTGTATGATGAGTGCTGCTGCTTTAGTTTAACCTCCTCAGATGAAAGGAAGGAAATTCTTCTACATCAACAAGCACTTGTGAAAGGCTCCTCCTTGTCACGAGTCTAATTTCCTTTCTCAGGCTGTCTGGAGAAAAAGCCCAACATCTGCCCAATATCTCCAAATCTATTCCTCTTTTAAATGCATTCTGTAAAAACTGACTCTATTAGTGCAATAAATGTGTATCTAGTGAGGGATGACATCATTGGTCAGTCTTTAGTAATGGACAGAGCATTGCTTGGATTCCAGTCCTGAGTTTGGATCACAGCTGAAGGGATTGTATCTTAAAGGGATGATCAGGGAGCAAACTGTGGTTTCCTACTGGCTTTAATGTCTGTGGGCTTTAAAGCTGCAGCCACTTGTTACCCCTCCTCTCTTCACTTTGCTTGGCTGTCATGTCAGGACGTGACTTCCTATCCAGGCTTCTTTTAGTCTGCTGTCTGAAATGTTCCATGAACGACCGACTGTCTCATCTAGAAGAGCTACAGCTCTCATTGTGAGACTTTGAGGAAGCCTTTTGTATTCTTTACCACATTTTTAGAGTCAAGTTATGAGTTTAACACTTTGTAGTTAAAGGGGTCATAGAATGCAAAGCAGGGTTTACATTGTCATAGATGGATAACGATAGTTCAGAGGGTGAAATGGACGTACAGAGAAGTTCAAACCCCATTGACACCTCCTTTCTCTGCAAATCTCACAATTCTAAACTTCCTCCATAAAACAGGCGAATTTAGACGAAGCTGCGAATTGACGTCAATTTGGTGATGTTGCATTATTTGGTTCTGGCCTGTACTCTTTGCCCCGAAATTGACATACAGACCAGCACACTGGTTCACTGGCCCAATGGAGGGTATGAAGTGTCGACTTCTGGGCCGCTGACTGGACTGGACTTAAGCAGACAGCCATGAGCCGCCCATCCTCAACCGGAGGAGGGGCCTGGGGGCCAGTAACAGACATACCAAGTCTCCCGGATTGTCCCGTTCATTTTTATATGAAAAGTAGGACAAAAAGAGGAGATCTGGTCACCCTACCATACCAACAATTTCAATGTTTTAGTGCGTGAGTGCTTGTTGCTATGATGCGTCTTTACTCAGCAGCTTCGCTCGTTGTAAACCAACCAATCAGCGTACCATAAAAGGAAGAAAACCTCTCGTTTCATTCTAGGGCTTATAACCAGGCTTGCATTAGGGCTCATAGAACAGCAAATATGCCATTTTCAGCCCAACCAGTGTTACAAACCCTATTCAGAGACCTTAAGAACCAGCACCAAATACCCTATAGAATCAGTCTATGAGCTCTTTAAAGTCGTAGCAACAACCCTTTTTTGATTTAATTGGTGGATTTGTTCTATGGATAATGGGACTCATCTTCTTTTTAAAACTTTTATATCTGTATGCTTTAAACTCTTCCTAAAACAAAAGGTTGTATCATATCTTTGCACCAATAATTAATAAAAACTGAATGTTTTTGGTGGTGAGAGCATTAAAGTCTACCTCCTCCCCTTTGCTTTTTATTTTGCATTGCTTCTGGCCTACATCATAATGATTAAGCTGGACTGTCTGTTTGAGGGGCGACAGAAGATTACGTTCCCTCTCAGTAATGCTGTAATGACAACACTGTATGCCTTCTCACAGATCTTTAAAAAGGGAATGAATGCATGGTTAGCCAGCTTGCTCTTTTTCTTGCCAGGATTTTTAAACCCTTTCTGTAACTTTGAATAACTCTTTAGAAATGTTAGGCATGACAAAGCTGTATTGGAATATTTTGATTAGATAATGTTCATTATGAATCAGATTTTTCGTGGGAAAATGAAATTTAAATATGAGCTGTACAGTGTTTCAGTGGGTACCACCGCTGCTTTGCAGCAAGAAGGTTCTGGGTTTTATTCCCGGTCTGGGGTCTTTCTGCATGGAGTTTGCATGTTCTCCCTGTGCATGCATGGGTTCTCTCTGGGTACTCCAGTGTCCTGTCAGAGCATACCTCCTCAGACCAGCATACCAGAATACCTGTTTATCCCTGAAATTTACCCCTTTAGTTTAACCCTTTAGTTTTGTATGAAAAATAGACTTTAAACTACCTCAAAGGACGTGTTTCCCTTTAGTCATGTACAAAAAAAATGCTTTAATTAAGATGAGATCACAATATGCTCCAAAAAACCCCCACCAAAAAGTAAGTAATAAAATAGTTTTTTTTATACATGACTAAAGGGATACACATTGGATAGGCTTTTCCTCTCTGCTCTGACTGCAGGTGATGTTTGCTGCACAAAACTACTGCGAGACTGAGTACCTGTCAGTGCTTGGGAAATGGCACTGCTTACTGAGGATAGTAACTGAAGAGCTGTTAAAGCTTTATGTGCAGCTGTTCAAGTCTACAGTAACAAAGAAAAAAGTAATTCAATTGTCGACTAGTTGTTTTTGATAAGAATGGCTAAAGGCATCTGAGAAGTAACAGTTTTTGAATCTATATAACCTTGCAAGCCCAATTTTAGTCTAGGTACTGTAAGTGTCACAACGTGTGACAACAAACCATGAAAGTGCTTACTAGGTGGACAGTATGTACAGAAGCCGAGAGCGGTCGTACTCGACTTTTTTTTCTCCTTTGCCTTCTCGAGATAATGACATAACTATCTCATTATCACGGTTAAACAATTAATCGTTTTCTCGAGATAACAAGGTAATTATGTCGTTATCATGAGAAAACAGTTATTGATATCTAGAAATAAAAAGATGATTTACTTGTAAGAGTAATGAATGAGGCTGGCCAACAGCCTGGATTCCCAGTCCATCCATGCCTGCGGTGCCTGTAGCTGTGCAATGGCGGTACAGCATGTGTACTAATATTCATTTTTAAGGTTCCTCTTTCTTTTCACTCATTGTCAGGTCGTCATGGATGATTGGATTGCATGGAATACAGTAGAAACAAATCTGACTGTTTTTTAATGAAAATCTTTAATCTGGACTCATTTTGGGAGTTAATGCATCTTATAGGTGTTACAGGCGTAACACCGGGGCTCTTCACAAAATACACCCGATGCTAAGGCAACAGAGGCATAGGTCTAATTGCTTATGAAATCATCAAACCAACAAAGTCGTCTCGTTACCCAAAAGTTAAAGACAGGATTATTTTTAGAATTACACATAGGCTGCCATATTGTGGTATTGAAGGATGTAATCACTTTTAACACACACCAATCATCTCGTTATAACAAGAAAAAGGCTTTCGTTATCTTTAGATAATGAGAAAATTAACTCGGTTTCTTGAGAAAACCAAAATGAAAAAGTATCAGAGGGACACGACCACTCTCGGCTTCCGCATGTTTAGCACTCAGATTGAGTTCTACACATCATTAATCAAGAATTGCTCCTATTGAATGTCTTCGCTGAAAGAATGGCTGTTCAGCAGAACCTTTTGAGCTGATTGGAAAAAATGACAGCTAGTGCCCGTCTGCCAAAAGTTCAGTTTTAGCCAATCATGGTAACAGATGAAATGACAACAGGGATGCTATGAGAAAGCACAACATCTTAAGCTTTTACACTCTTGCATTTGTATTTTTAAAGGGGAAATCTTGGATTCTGACAAACAGATGTGATAGCAACATTCACATCTACTTCCTCCTGCACTTCCATGTTTATTTTGGTTCAGCTATAGGGTTTCTTTCATCAAAGCTTTAGGTTCCACCTTAAACTATAACACTAGAAAGTGGCCAGTATGATTAGTGGGTGAAGCAGAATTGAACATTATGTTTTTCTACACCATAGTTTCTTGATGTGGTTGAGTACAGATCCGAACTGGTGTATAGGATCAGTGTGTTGAAAAGCTTTAGAAAAAGATAAGTTTAAAATCATATACAGATTTCCTCACCCACGTTCTGCAGGTCAGAGTAATTAAAAAAGATACAAGAGAATGTGATAAATTCCTCATTGCATACATGGTGTTGCACACTACCTGTAAGCTGGCTTAAAACTGGTGCTTTATTTTACCCTTACGGGTCCATCTAGCTGTTTTGAAGTATTTAGATCCATAAAATACAAATCCAGTCATTGCTTGGACACCAAAGCACCCCGCATTGTTTTAACATGTACATCATATTAGGCATCACAGGATAGTTGTCTTTTGAGAAGAGCACTCTATAGACTGACTGCTTTCTTCATAATGTTGTTACATGATTGTTTTTTTATGATGTATGATGTTAATTCTTGTTTTAAATGTTAATCACAATGATGATGATCACATGGTTTCATGAAAGCAATTTTGTTCAGTGTTATCTATGCCATGAGGATCTTACTCTGCCCCTATTGTAGGAGTTTCAATTGGGATTTGAAGTTGTTGTGCCATCATTTGAGATTAGCTATTCTGTTGTCCTAATTCTCACTGAATAAGGCCTTGATCTGCCAGACAGACATAGAGAGAGAGTCACGTAGAGTCAGAGGATTCTGTTTTGTTGGAATTTGCTGCAGTCAGATTGTCTAAGGAGGTCAGTCTCTGCAGCTTTATGGAATGCAAAGGCAGAAATCCCCACAGCTTTGTTCA